TGGGGACAGCGATGTTCTGGCGGCGGGGTCGGACCCGCCGTGGCCCCCACCCTCCCCCCCCCACAGTGTGGGACATGGAGCGATGGGGGAAGTGCGGCCCCTTCCTTGGGGACAGCTGGGGGACACTGGAAAGGACAGGGGGCACTGGAGGGGCTGAGCCTCCCACCAGGCCCGGACAGAATCACCCCCATGGACACAGCCCTGGGGTGACAGGGTCCTTGCAGGTGTCCCCTCCCCGGGGGGCCCGTTTGCGTGCACCCGGTGCTGTCACCGACCCCAGAGCGGTGCCACATCCCGGGGGACCCCTGCCCGTGCCAGCCGACCCCCGGGGGGGCACAGGGGCCCGAGGGGTCCCGCCGTGCCCCCAGCCCCGTCCGTCCCCATGCTGTGACATGCGGAGACGGGGGGACACCAATGGCCGTGATACCTGGCCGGGTTCCACGAGGGGGACACGGGAGTGACGGGGGGTGACACCAGGGGGTCCACGGCTGCTCCCAGCGCCATCCCCGCCGTTGCCGTGGTAACGGGATGCGCAGGGATGCTGCGCCGCTGATAAAAATGCCAGAAAAGGGGTGGATGAGCCTGCCCCGGGCCCCGCAAGGCCTCTCGAAAACCCCCAAAACAGCCCCCTCGCGCCCCACCGCGGGTCCCTTCCCCACCCGGCATTGCTGCCCCGGGAAGGGGAGGGAGGGGATTTGGGAGTGCGGGGAGCAGGGGGATGGATGGATGGATGGATGGATGGATGGATGGATGGATGGATGGACACAGTGGGGGATGGATGGATGGATGGATGGACGGATGGATGGAGGGATGTGCCCAGGCCCGTGGGGTCCTGTCCCAGCTCAGGGGGTCCCTGCCCCCCCCTTCCAGCAGTGCCCCCCAGTCTGTGCCCCCCCAGGTGCTGCAGTGGGGGCCTGGCAGTGCCAGCCCCCCATGGGGACCCATCTGGGGGGCACGGGGGGTGCAGGACCCGCTGGGGGTGGGGATGGGGCCCCCCCCCATTTCCGCCCCAGAGCCCTGGGGTGGTTTCCGGCTCCTGTGCTGTGGGAAATGGGGCCACTTCCTCCCTGCGTCTGCGGGGGGGGTGGGGG